GTTGCTTCCATGCCTTGGCAATTGTAAATAATGCTGCTATGAACATTGGAGGGCATGTATCTTTTTGAATTAACATTTTTGTCTTTTTCGATATTTTCTCATTTTTTTTGAGAAACTGAGGCACAGGAAGGTTGTGACACTTACCCAACAATCTTTATACATCACAGTAGTGTGTGGGAAAGGTTAAATGAGGTAGGCACGTAGCAGGCACAGAGCTAGTATATTAAATTATATAATGTCTGGTGCATTTGGTCCCACTTATCCAGGACTATATATTTACATTTTATATTTCAGATCTTGTCATATTTCTTGATGAGTTACATTATTATATTAAAATGTTCTCCTTAGGGGCTTCCCTGGTGGTGTAGTGGTTGAGAGTCCGCCTGCCAATGCAGGGGACACAGGTTCGTGCCCTGGTCTGGGAAGATCCCAGAGGCCGCGGAGCGGCTGGGTCCATGAGCCATGGCCGCTGAGCCTGCACGTCTGGAGCCTGTGCTCCACAACGGGAGAGGCCACAACAGTGAGAGGCCCGCGTACCACTGGAAAAAAAAAAAAAGTTCTCCTTAGAAATATGCTTCTGTTTCTCACAATGATTCAAGAGCAGTGTTTCTCAAACTGGGGGCCCCCCAAGGGACATTTGGAAATGTCTGGAGACATTTTTAATGGTCATGACTCAAGATGGGAGGCTGCTACTGGCATTCAGTGGGTAGAGACCAGAGACGCTGCTAAACATCCTACAATGCACAGGGCAGCACCACAACAGAGAGTGATCTGGCCCCAATGTCACTACGTGGAGGCTGAGCTGAAAAGAAAGCAGTTCATGCAGGGTTTAGCCCACTGGCTGGTGCACAGCAGTTGAGGAATAAAGATTAGCTATTATTATAAATGGTAAATAAAGTGTGCCATACTTTAGAAACAATAACACCTACTATTTCTACAGTGCCTTCTCTATGCTGGGTATTGCTCTGAATGCTTTTCTGTATTAACTCTCTGTATTAACTTTTCTGTATTAATTTTTGTTATGCTTTTCGTATTATATCCTCCTAAGAACTTCATGAGGCAGATATTCTTTCGGTCCCCATTTTACAGATACAGAACCTAAGCCCAGGGACCCTAAATTTCTTGCCTAAGATCATGCTATGAACTGAATTACATCCCCCTCCAGATTCACATGTGGAAACCCTAGCCCAATGTGACTGTATTTAGAGATAGATTAGAGGAAGTTATAAGCGTGGGGCCCTAATCCTCTACGATTAGCGTCCTCATAAGAGGAGACACCTAAGAGCTTGCTCTCTCTCTCCCACGTGAGGACACAGCAAGAGGGCAGAGGTGTGAGGACTGCAAGCCAGGAAGAAAACTTTCACCAAAATCAGAATTGGTTAGGATCTTGACCTTGGACTTCCCAGCCTCCAGAATTGTAAGAAAATAAATATGTGTTGTTTAAGCCACCCAGTCTATGGTATTTTTGTTATGCAGCCTGAGCTGACCAATACAGATGATCAGCTAGTAAGAAGAAACATCAGGACTTAACCCTTGGCAGCCTCGTTCCAGAGTTCAAACTCTTAACTTTCTTACCTTTACTGTCTCCTCTGCCATATAACTTATGCTATATTTTATTTATTAATACAACATAGAATATTAAATATTTATTGCATATGTGTTTTTGCAGTGAGAAATTAAAATCATAACTAGTCAAGGAATGTAGCCAGATCTAAAGTGAGGAATAAAAAATTGAGAAGTCATCAATAATCTTTGGAAAGATTTAGCCCGAGGGCTTGGCAGTAGTCAGATGAGAAAATGTTAGTTTTTACTATTTATTTCTCATATTAATGTTATGATCCCATTAGCTCTGTGGTCTGATCCACAAGTAAATTGGCCATTCTGGAAGTTTCCTTTGAATCCCTCATTTACTCCAGTGATTTGTGTTCATGTGGCTTCATTTAATTTAATCAATTAATTTTAAAGATTTTTAATTGAATAAATTTGATGTGTAACATTGTGTAAGTTTAAGGTGCAACACGTTACTTTGATACATTTATATATTGCAAGGTAACTGCCGATGTAGTGATATTTATCACATTACACAATTGTAAAGCAATATTATTTTCTATACTCATTATACTGTGTACTAGATCTCTATGGCTTATTTATGACTCGTTGCAAGTTTGTTCTCTTAGACACCTTCACTTTTATCCCCTCCTAGCCCTCCCACCACCGCCAGCATCTCCTCATTTTAGTTACAGCTTAACAGTATGCCGTCCTCCTGGGAACAGATCAAACACCAAATATGGTACAACCTGCCCTGCAGCTGCCTTACCAGCCGGCAGCTAAGTGACTGTTAAATGAAAGGAGGAGGTCCTCGAATGGTGGAATGGCGACAGAATTAGTCACCAAGTAAACAGAAACACCTTTGATCAATGCAATGCAATGCAGGCCAACTGTGGCCCTTCTCACCACCCATTGAAGGCGGTGTCAACATGGCCAGGCTGGCACACCAGCAGCAGCCCTCTGCCTCCCAACTCCAAAGGCAGGGTCAGGATGAGTAAAGAGAACAGACCTGCTCTGCCAGGTCCCATAGTTCTGCATCTCCCCATGGTCCCCAGCACCGTGCTGGGAACATGGGCTGCAGTGTGCAGTGGTGCAGGCTGCCACCTGAACGAGGGAGCACATGAGGACTGAAATCCATCCGTCTCTGTGCTCCCCAAGTCCTGTGCCCTGCGCCCTGCCATGGGCCCATGTGGGCCCAGGGGAAGGGGCTTCTTTATCAAAATGGCGCTGAGTGTTTTAGGAACGCTTCGTAACTGATGTCCTGCTATTGGAACACTCCATTGTGTTTGCATCCATCTACGCATTGTTGTTCCTAGAAGGGTCAGAGCTCAGTATCTTATTCTGAGCGTTGCATCAACCATTTTTAAGCTGATAAAGATAGCAGGTAACATTAACTGCAGGCTTACCATGAGCTGGGCAGGGCCAGGAGTAGGGTGGGACAGGAGAGGCATCCGGGTGCAAAATACAAGGAGGCTTCCCCCTCAAGGTTGGGTAGGTGCAGATGGGCACCTAAGAGTGAGTGCCTCCCTGAATTTTGCCTCCAAGGTGCCTGGGGCCAGGCACTTTATTTACATTGTCTCCATTTTCTCTTTCAGCAGCCCACATTATTCCCCCATTACACAGATAAAGAAACTGAGCCTTAGTGACGCAAGCCCTTCATCCCTAGAATATACGCTCCATGAGGGCAGGCACCTTGCTTTTCCTGCTTGCACAGAGCGAGCCCTCAGTTCACCTTTGCTGATTAAATGGATAAAGGAGAGTAAAGTAATCCTGATCAGAAAGAAAGCTCTGGAGAGGCAGAGCTAAGGTTGAACCTGGTTCCACGTGACTCAGGCACTCAGATCCTTAACCACGTCCAGGCCCAGGTCTGGGCAGCAAAAGAAGCTGCTGACATGGTGACACTCCACAAATGTTTAACCCGCCAGCAGCTCGGGCAGGCCTGTGGGAGCCGAGAGCAGCCCTCCCAGGTCTTTTCCAACCCTCTCCCTGTGCAACCCCATCACTGGGAACAAGCCAGGATGGGCTTTTCCAGGCCCATTACTCTCCTGAAGCACATGCCTTTTTCCTAAAAAGACAACCCTTCCCAAGTTTCAGAACCCTTTGGAAAAAACACCCACCATGATTTGGGACCCCTTAAATTGAAAACTACATTAGCACAGCCCTCTCTTGCCTTTTATTTAGGGAGAGAGGAAGGATCTATACACCCTAGGCATCTAAGGCAGTGCAATCGGCGCAGAGTGCCATGAGGATGGGGCCAGGTGCCCCCTGGTGTAAAATTTAAGGGGCACCAGAAAACTCAGCCATCAAGACAGACGATATATTTCACCACAATATTTAAAAAAACCAAAGTTAGTGCTGGGACTGATCCTATCTTTACTAAATATGTTGCTACTTTGTTCACAGTGGAGTTTTGGCATTGATCTTAAAATTTTAAACCATTGCCTTAAAATATAATTTATCTCGAAAACTGAGTTTTTTGGTGTCTCTTAAATTTTGCACCCAGGAGTGCCTCACTCCTCTCACTGAAGTTCTGGCCCTGATCGGATCCCAGTTTCACAACTTCCTTTCTGTGAGCTCTAGAAGGAGTTCCTACCCACGCCCTCCTCCAACCTCATTTTCCTAATTATCAGACGGCGATGATGATATAACAACAACAAAAATACCAGCTAACGTGTCAAGCGCACAGGTGTTCCCATGCGTTGGTCTCCTCAGCTCTCATGGCTGTCACTTTGATCTCGGTACTATGATAATGCCCATTTTATAGTTGAGGAAACTGAAGCCCAGAGAGTGAAGTCACCCGCCCCAGAGCAACCAGGCAGCCCAAGGTGGGACTGAGACTGGTCCCACCCTCTCGTCACCATGACTCTTCAAAGCAGGAAAACTTCTGAGGGCAATGCAAATTTCTGCAGTTGTGCTGCTGGGATTTGAATCAGCACCTACCTCAAGGGGCAGTCTTGAATGTTAACTAGGACAATTTATGTGAACAGCAGGATTCACAAAAGGCACTCGGGGAGTCCTTCTCCCTGTCTCCTTTACTTCCTTAGACAATGGCCCTAGACACAGACTCAAAGTTGGCTTTACTATGGGGGATTCTTGTCCTGATGGTGGTCCCCAAATCACACAGAATACCCTTCCACCTGCTGACTTTCCCCCAAGTTTTACACTTGAAATGACGCTCCACTGTTCCATGCAAATAGGAGCTGTTTCTGTTGCTTTGAACTTGACACTGCCCACATTGCCATTTAATCTTTGTATCCTTTCAGGTAAGGCTATCTTTGGGTCCATTTCACAGATGGTGAAACTGAGGCTCTCACATACCCAACGCCACGCAGTGACTCAGCGGCAGAGCCGGGGTCAAGCGCAACCCTCTCTGACCCCTGGCTTCTACATTTCACTGCCTGCCACAAACAACAAACCCTCCAGTCACGCTTAAAGGATCTGGAAGCAATTACCTGCTGAGCCCCTGGTGGGAGTGTCTTCTGTCCTCTGGTGTCACCTGGAGCTGCTTTTACTTGGAGCGCTGTGTCTCCAGCTGGTGCTGCCCAGTGCCAGGCTGTCAACTGAGCCCGGCGGCTCCCTGCCCTTTGCTTCCTCGTCCGCAGCCTGCTGGCTGAATACACAGAGCAGGGCAAACACAAGTCTGGGTGGAGCCCTCCTCTCCCCGACTGCCCTATAGAAGCAGGTTCTCTTCCTGGATTCAGGGGCTGTCCTCACCTCTCCAATAAAACCCGAGTACCTGATTTCTTTTGTGCTAATGCCTCCCTGGCACCACAAGCATCCTGTCTGGTTGCCCTCACCGGCCGCAGCTGCTCGGGTTGACCTGGGTAGCTAATTCCCCTCCCCGGTAACCACGGGTCATGGGCAGAGCAGGGAAAACACGTTCTGTAAGGTTTTACCGTTCTGTCTGCCTTTCACCTTCACTCTTTCTGGAACACCCCCTCCGCCACCACCTAACCACCTAATCGGGAGGAAATAACATCTCACCTACTGCACCGCCCCCAGTCACATAAACATCACTCCCAAAGGGCTTTGGATACTGGAAGGCAGGTAACCTAAGGGTGGCTTATTGCTCTGGAGACAGAGCACGGCATTGGAAAAGGCATTCTTTTTCTCTGCAGGCCAGAAATTCCAGACAGGCTATTTATTTTATTTAATTCCAGCAAGGATATTTACTAAGGTGTCTTAGAAAGACATATGCAAGGCAGTATGAGAGCATAAATAAAAAGATAACAAAAGAAGATAGAAAAATAAGAGTGCGTACAGCAAATGGGACCAGCACCACATATAAATCTGCATGTGGATTTACAAACTTGCTATGAAGGCTTCACAGATGTGGCTTTGAGCCTCCTGATAGCCATTGCAAAAAGGGAAACATGATAAGTTATATTATTCAGTGTTCTTGAAAACATTCAGGAGAAATACAAACTAGTAATTATTGTGGCTTTATTCATTAATATGCACATCCAAGCACCCACCATGAATACTTGTTGAGCACTGGGCTATATATAGGCCTGCATTTAGAGTGGTGAGGAAAAGAGGCCCTGTCCCCACCCTGCCCGGGCTCATTATAATTAAACACAGAGTCCTACAAATAGAGTCACAGAGTAGGATCCTCATTATGAAACAAAAGCCGAGGCTGCTAAGAGAGAGAAACAGGGAGAGCTGGAGAAGGCCCCTTTCAGAAAGCCACATTTAAGGGACAAAAATACTATTGAAATAAAAACTGAATTCACAGCTGGATGCACCATAATTAGGTCTATAACCTCAAGTTCAGCTCAGCACTGTACCTTTAAATCTGGAATGTAATAAACCCAATTGCTAAGCAGCTGTCAGGCGCGCACACAGTGCGGACACAAGCACAGAGGCAGGCTGGCCTTGGGGGTCAAGGGCCTGGGCTCCCGGACCCTGGGTTCACACGTCACCAGCTGCTGAGTGGAACAAGCAGCTTGCCCTCCGCCCCCCTCAGTCTCTGCCACCCCTCTTGGCTGCCAGTGCCTTGGAGCTGATTTGGTGCTGGTTTTTGTATCCCGACTCTCAGCACCCTGCAGAACGGGGTGACCACCTCCCCGCCGTCGAAGAGGTGCTGGGCAAGCACTTCCTGATGGGACCGCCCCCCCCCATCATTACTTATGACAATAAGTGCCCCATGGATGGCATTCTACTCTTTGCAAAGCATTTCACATCCACCCATCTCAGTTACGTCCACGCCATGATTAGGAGTTTGGCATCTGTTTTACGGGAGAATTAATTATATGAGGTTTAGGGCCGTGAGTGACTCGGGCCACGAAGGAACATCAGGCAGGACACTTGGCATTGTGGCTGGTGTATCTTAGAATCTCCTCGAGTGTTACTGAGTAGTGGTAATGTGGGCAGGGCTGGCTACATGATGTGCAGGACCCAGTGCAAGAGGAAAATGTTGAGCCCCTCGCTCTAAAAGCAGGAAATAGTACTGGTAGACATCCTGAGATAGAAAGCGCTTTCCCTTCTTCCACTGTCTCTCGCTACGTGTTATGTATTTTATTTGCTATTCTAAGTCACTCTAAGGAAAGAAAAATTTAAAAAGTTATTAGCGTGAGTTTTACCATTCATACTCTATTGTGCAATATCGGTTTTAAATGCAGTGAACTCCTGTGCAGAATCTCCCACATCACACACTCGTATTTCCTTTTTTTACTAAAGCAGAGTAAAAGCCACACAAACTGACTCCGCTGTTTTGATTTTGCTTCTAGACACGCATGCATTCTACCAACACCGTGTACCTTCAGTTTATGGAGGAGTAAGGAAGGGTGGAAAGGAAAAGAAGCTACTGGTTGCTCCATCCTTCCTTTTCTAAGTCATCATTTTTGCACATTGGCAGCGAGGTAACCTGAGTAACAACTCATGCAATAGGGTTCTTCTGTTGTTCATACTTCTTAGACTGCATCGCCTTCTGTCTGCATTCGAGACAATCTCTGATTTGAATGGAAACTGTGGCTTCTCAGGGCTGCCAGCGCCCCTACAAACTCGGCTGTAGCTACAACACACTGTACTTTATACTCACCTTGAGGCTTGCTAGACACCCACCCATCACGGTCCCCTGGGATTCTCTTCCTGTGGGGCACCATGAATGCTATCTGTGAACAGGCAGCAACAGGCAGCAGGCGTGTGTGCCGTGCTTCCTCTGCTCACGTACCTGCCGCCTTTTCCATCAGATGTTTTTTAAAGATTCTATTGTTTTAGGTTCACAGCAAAATTGAGAGGAAGGTATGGGGATTCCCCATATGCCACCTGCTTCCACACATGCAGGGCTCCCCCTCTATCAGCATCCCACACCAGAGTGATACATTTGTTTCATTCACTGAACCTACACTGACACTTCATAATTACCCCCAATCCATAGTTTTGATTACAGTTCACTCTTGATGTTATACATTCTATGGGTTTGGACAAATGTACAATGATGTGTATCCGCCATTGTAGTATCATACAGACTAATGCCCTGTCCAAAAGATCTTCTGTGATCTGCCTATTCATCCTTCCTTCCCCCTAACCCTGGAAACCATTAATCTTTTTAATGTCGCCATAGTTTTCCTTTTTCCAGGATGTCATATAGTTGGGATCATACAGTTTATAGCCTTTTCAGATGGGCTTCTTTCACTTAGAAATATGTATTTAAGTTTCTTCCATGTCTTTTCATGGCTTGCTAGCTCATTTCTTTTTAGCGCTGGATAATATTCCATTGTCTGGATATACAAGTTTATTTATCCATTCACCTTCTGAAGGACATCTTGGTGACTTCCAAGTTTTGGCAATTGTGGATAAAGCTGCTATAAACATCTATGTGCAGGTATTTGTGTGAACACAAGTTTTCCATTCCTTTGGGTAAATGCCAAGGAGTATGATTGTTGGATCACATGGTACGAGCATGTTTACTTTCATAAGAAACTGACAAACTGTCTTCCGAACTGGTCACAACATTTTGCATTCCCACGAGCGATCTAAGAGAGTTCCTGTTGCTCTACATCCTCATCAGCATTTTTATTTATTTATTTATCTTGGCTGCGTTGGGTCTTCGTTGCTGCATGCGGGCTTTCTCTAGTTGCGGCGAGCAGGGGCTACTCTTTGTTGCTGAGCGCAGGTTTCTCACTGCGGTGGCTTCTCTTGTTGCAGAGCACGGGCTCTAGGTGCATGGGTTTCAGAAGTTGTGGCGTGTGTGTTCAGTATTTGTGGCTCACAGGCTCCAGAGAGCAGGCTCAGTAGTTGTAGAGCACGGGCTTAGCTGCTCAGCGGCATGTGGGATCTTCCCAGACCAGGGCTCGAACCCGTGTCCCCTGCATTGGCAGGTGGATTCTTAACCACTGTGCCACCAGGGAAGGGAAGTCCGCTCACTAGCGTCTGATGTTGTCAGTGTTCTGGTCTGACCATTCTAATAGGTTGTCCCATCCAATTTTGCTTCCACAACACGAGTTCAAATATAAAATTGTTAATAATTTCAAGACGGTGACCACAGAGTGTTAAACCAAGCTCAGGGCACTGGCTGGAGGTAGCAGTGAGTTGACAGACTTCTTGGTGGAAGAATTCACTTCTGACCGTCCACATGGCAGGAGTTGCTCCTGGCCAGGCATATTTTAGGTGGTGTTCATCATCACTTCTCATGACCTGGTTCTCCTCTTAATCTTTCTTTACCATCTCCACCCCTCTTCAAATATTACAAACTCATGAAGTTGTCAGCTCCTGTTATCAAACTGCTTTCCTGGAATCTGGACTGGAGCTGGTCCCTCTGCTGAAGATTCATCGGAAATCGGAAATCTGAAGTCTCCCTGGCAACTTTTCCAGGCCTCCTCCGGCCAGCACTGCAGACACTCCTCCTTTCTACCTGCAGGCCTCTCACTCATTCTGAGCTGATTTCAGCCGTGTTTTTGATCACTGACCCAGAGGGGGGAATGACCCAGACATCACAGTGTGGTCATGCATGCCCATCCTGCTTTGGCTGAGACACTAAATCTAATACATGTGTCCACTCTTCACTTGGCATTCTTCAGATCACTTTCTTGTACATTACCTGATGTGCTCCTTAGTAAAATCATATGACATAAGAGGTATCTACTTGGGTAAGGAGGAAACAGAGGTTCTGAGAAGACAAATGTCTTGCTCCAAATTGAACTACAGACTGACACTGGAGTCAGTTAAAGGCTAAATCCAGGGCCCAGCCTTGATTAGAAACCCAGGCTCTGGAGCCATGCAGTCTAAAAAAGAATCCTGGCTTCGGGAGCTGATTGGCTGTGTGACCTTGAGAAGGTAGATTGCCCTTTCTGTGCTTCAGTTTTATCGTCTGCTAAATGGGGGTATTGGCAGCAGCACCCTGACTTGTGGGAATCAAATGAGATAATTTGATTATTTCAAATGAGAAAATACTTCACATACTGCCTGGCACAAAGTATGGTTCGGAAGGGTTTGGAAAGAAAGGGATGACATTAGCTTCTATATGACAGCACTGATGAGAAGGGAGATCTTGACCTCATGGATCCTAGTCTAGACTTGGGAGCTAGATTTTGAGCATGGACGGGGTAAGGGAGTTCACACAGTCTAACCCATCTGATTCTGCAGACCAGCCTCC